CTTAGTGATTGCACGTACTAGATGTTTAATAATTCATGTCAGTTCATGATGGGTCTCTCGGGGTCTTGGAGAAATAACAGCATATCCAACCACAATGCTGGGATAAATGCTGGGAGGCCTCCCACGTCGGGGAGCAGCCCTGCTGCCCTTGCCGTCCCCCACCTGTATATATGTTAAAGACAATGCTTTGTGCCTCTGAAAGGAGAAGCCTGGAGCTCTAGGTTCTCATTATTTCCCAACTTTCTTCTCTCATATTCTCCATTTTCTAATTCCTAACCAAGACGCTTACTGATACCTCCTCAAAGCCCACAAAGGGTGACTTCTGCCTTAGATGGATGAATGGGTACTCAAAAGTAGAGGACACTTTTTTAACCTTCAAAAAGAAACTCTGCTAATGAGTGATAAGAAATTAATTTCCTCAATAAAAAAAAGGACCAGGAAGAGGAAATGAAAGCCAAATGCAAACCCCTCAGTAAAAGAAAGAACTGCAAAAAATAAAAATAAAAATAATAAGGATTCGCAAATGTAGGAAGAAATTAAAACAAACCTGCAGGCCCTCAGAAATAAAGCAATCAGGCAGCTCCACGCACACATCCCGTATTTGAATTTTTATTTCGCATGAAGTATTTTTGTATCTGCTTTGCCTAAATTTGGCCTCTTACCAAAGCCTAATGACTCTACTTTATGTTAAGCTTTTTGAAGAATCTAAACTTAAAATGAGAAAAAAAAAACTGTTAATTTATCTTGCAGGGAAAGGTGTTATAATTTGAATGAAAAACAGCAAGCACACAGATAAAAAGGAGCTGGTACAAAGCTTGGGCAATCAGTAGCGGGTTTTTGTACCTGCAGGCTGAGAAATTGTCTCCAGTGTTGTCTGATGTTATTACCATCGCCTATTTTCACTTGTACATTAGGTTCAAGCATAATTGTGTTGAAGGTTTGAATGTTATCCAAAGATTTACTATTTTAACAGGCTCATAATGTTAAAACACTATATGTGTTGACAGTGGTACTTACACTGTATTAGGCAAACAAATGAAATACATTTCTTTAAGGAATTTAAGTTGACCTTTCCACAAGCCTTAATCAGTTCTGAAATGGACCTTTTTAATAATCTTTCTCTGATCATCCCACCTTTTATCCCATCCATCAGTAAACACCATATTATATACCACGTAACTTTATGATTCCAGAAACTGCCTTGTTATTAAAGGTGACAGAGCAGTGTGAGAAACTATAAGTTATATTCATAAACAATTATGATAAGTAAAATAATGCTTTGGTACCTAAAGCAAATGCCTCTCATTCATAAATCCAGCTTATGAAGTAAGGTCCAAGGCTCAGTAGGTTATCCTGCATTAAGACTGCAGAAGACATCAAATCCCAGCACAAGCAAAAAGATAAACCCAAGTTCAGAGGCAGTTGGAAGCTGACGTTGAGTTTAACATGGAAACAAAGAAAGAAAGGGTGGTCTATTTTATCTCAGAAGGTCCTTTTGGATCTATATTTGAAGAAATAATTCACTTTAAAATATGGGTCTGTTGTAAAAATTAGAGAAATACATGCAATCGTGAAAAAAATCTGATTCTGTCTCTCAGAAATGATTCTTGTTATTGTTTTCTTACTACAGACTTCACCTATGTTTATTTTAATAGGCTAATCAGAACATATTAAGTTTAAAATTACTTTTTTTCACTTAGTGTCTTGTTAACATCTTCCCAAGTGATGGAATATTCTTCAACTACAGAAACATTTCAATAGGGATACAGTATTCCACTAAGGAATGCTACACCGCTATGACTGGACATTTAGGTGCCTCTACAACCTAATTAAAATGATGATGAACTAACCCTGTGGTTGTCGCTCCCCCTCTTCGTGGAGGAACGACACAGGACCCTGCGCTGTTCTTTCGTCTGCTCGGCCCTCCCCGGGTTTGCTGCTGGTTCTTCCCGGGTTGGCTACTATCCCTTCCACCTCCGTGGAAGGGCAGTTCCCCCTGGCCGCATTCCCCACTTCCGCAGGGGAGCGGCACACCGCCGGCCGGCTTTCTCGGGGGCTGCACGGGTTCCCTTAGATGTTCCCCATAGATGTTCCTGGTGCATGCCGTCTCTCTCCTCCTTTATAGTCCTCCTCCGCCAATCCCAACTCGGCTGCCCACACGCCGAGTACGCTGCTCTCCTCCAATCAGGAGCAAGTCCTACAATTTATTAGTTGAACTGGAGGCAGGTGTGCGGAAGCTGTTTACTTCTCTCCCAGCGCCATATTGTGGGAGAGCAGATGCATAGAATAAGTCTTAATTCGAGTAACTTAGTCTAGTCCGGATTGCTCCCCACAGTGGCAGGTTCTTTTGGATTGCCAGACTACATCTCCCACTGTTCAAAAGACATTGTGCAGCTCTCACAAAGCCACTGATGCTTTTCTTAATGTACTGTCTCAGATGTCCTGTTGACCTCTGTGGGGAGCAACCCGGACTAGACTAAGTTACTGGAATTAGGATTTATTCTATGCATCTGCTCTCCCACAATATGGCGCTGGGAGAGAAGAAAACAGCTTCTACACAGCTGCCTCCAGTTCAGCCAATAAACTGTAGGACTTGCTCCTGATTGGAGGAGAGCGGCGTGCTCGGCGTGTGGGCAGCCGAGTTGGGATTGGCGGAGGAGGACTATAAAGGAGGAGAGAGACGGCATGCACCAGGAACATCTAAGGGGAACATCTAAGGGGAACACCTGTGCAGCCCCCGAGAGAGCCGGCCGGCGGTGTGCCGCTCCCCTGCGGAAGTGGGGAATGTGGCCAGGGGGAGCTGCCCTTCCACGGAGGTGGAAGGGACAGTAGCCAACCCGGGAAGAACCAGCAGCAAACCCGGGGAGGGCCGAGCAGATGAAAGAACAGCGCAGAGTCCTGTGTCGTTCCTCCATGAAGAGGGGGAGCGACAACCTCTACTTAATTTTAAGGATAAAAAATATGTACACCTTTTACCTTAAAACAAAATTTCTCAAAATAATTTTATCTCCACTAATCTACATTTTTCTTCTATAATCCTAAAAGAGCAATTTATATTTATATATTTGTTCCCACAATATTCTCCCTAGAAAAAATATAATCTGAAAGACCATACACACCTAAGAAGCATTGCACAATTATTTACACTTAATCTGAAAACTATTCTCATTTCCTTATTGAGGAAGCCAGCAAATGCCGTTACAACTTGCATTGTGCCAAGACAGAAATAGTTGAGTATCTACACTGGGTATGTCTTTACTTCAAAGCCAAAGCCACAGGAATATTTGGTTTTCCTCTGTTTTCTCCAAATATCAGAAGCAGTACTTACTGTTTGTTATGCAAAGATAGTACTCTACTTTTAACTAATATTCAGACCTTGCCAGCCAATTAATTGATAAGAAGAAATTCTAACAAATCTCTCTTGACAGCAATATATGTATCAGTCTGGGCCAAAATCCTCGAGTTTTCAGCATTTCCACACTCTGTGACCCTGAGATATCAGTTTTACCCAAGGTTCATCTTGATGATTGAAATGAGCTAGTGAACAGTTATGACAATTATCTTAAAGGCTCCCATCACCTCTCTCATGAAGTGCTAGGACCTGTCCATCAGATCCTTCCACTGTCTCCTTTGTGTAGCTAGCTTGTGTTCCTTCATTTCCTCATTGCACTGTATAATTTGTCTACCTTTACCTTCTCAGCTCTTCACTGATTCAGCTCAAAACCTAAGACTCCACCCATTCTATCTCTCAACCTTCAAACACCGTCCAAAACTCCCATCAGACTAAACAATGGCATTCTCCTACTAAGTACTTCAAAGAACAATCCAAGCTGGCCTCAAAATCTCCCCTGGCTTGTTGGAAAGAAAAGCAGATTTCCAAAGAGTTCCATCTCAACAGCATGCCATTCCCCATGGAAAGTGTATTTGGATATAGATAGTGTTGTTACATATGCATGAGAATATGTTTTACTTATTCACCTGCCTTTTTTCAGCCTGATTGTGAGCCCCTAAAGACTAAGAACATGTTTTCTCTCAATTCTATAATGATCCCACCCCGACAGAGTCATACTGCTTGCTAAATGTTGGTGCCACCTTTCTCCACGGCAGTATCAGTAATTACAACATTCTAACTGGTTAGACATAAAGGAGAACACAGATTTTTAGAGTTGAAGTTAGCTAGTCCATCACCAACTTTTTTTAAGCTCATATTTGTTATTCACCATGTGCCATACACCTCTTTAATCTCTTTACATGAATTGTCCCATGTGATCCTCCCCAAAACTCATAATGTAGGAACTCTATCCTCATTTTTGTGTGCATGCCAAAACCTTTCTTATGCTTTTTCACAATGAAGTATACATAAATGAGTGAATAATAATAGCTCACTCCATATCAGAACTAGAGTGAAAACAGAAGGAGCCTTGGGAACAAAATCTAGCAAGACACTCACTCCCAGGGCCGTGCTAGTGCCTCTTTGGCCTCATCCAGTCCCAGCCCTAGCCTGAACCTCATTACATGTCAGCTAGTGCTTTAAACATATTTATGTATGTAGTACTCATTACAATCTCACTATAGTATTATCCTCTTTTACAAATGAGGAAATGAAGGTCAAATAACATGCCTAAAAGTCTCAGAGTTAGTGACAGGGATCTGATTCAAATCCAGTCATCTTGGCTAGTGGTAGACAGATAATTTAATGAATACATGAGTGATCGATGAATTAATGCATGAGTGAATGAATGAATATCAAGTCTCAGTACCACTGAGGCCAGAAACCTGTTTTTGTTTTTGTTTTTGTTTTTGTTTTTTTTTCAGTTTTCAATCCAGCACAATCCCCAAGAACTCTAAATATCAAGTTCTCTTTGGTGGATTATCAAATCAAGTATGAGCAGTTGCTGATTATTCTCCAGTTGTTCAGAGGATAATTTTTTAAAGCAAGTAATGAGAGACATTTGAAACAAATAACATGTAAAACTAACTGTGTATAATTTCTACTGTAGGGAACCTTGGAAACATCAGGAACATTTTGTGATCAGAAAAATGCCAAGGGCTTCAGCAACAGCAGCTGTGATGAAAGGATTTCCCAGAAATGAGCTTGTGAAACCGATCTTGTCATAAATTTGTTGAATGTAGTTGCTGCCTTGCCATCCATTATGAGTCCTATACAAGTGATTTGAAACCCAGTGGTACCTCATCACCTTTGATCTAAACTCTACCTCCCATGTGATTGCTTGTGATATAGCTCACTTGTTCCTCATATCATGGATTCAAAACCCAAAACATACTGCTGCTGATGATCATGATAAAACTTAATGGTTATCACCAGAGTCTCCCAGGCAAGTTTCCTCCCATTCTTTAAGCAGACAATCCACAACCCGGAGAGAAAGCTGAAGAAAGCAAGCCGAAAGAAAGGGTGTAGCCCACAGGTCTGATTCCTCCCACCCGCTGGTGAGTTTCCTACCACCTCTGGCTTTCCAGTGGGTCTCCTGGCGACACTCCCAAGCTCTCCAGAACTGGTGAGTAATGAATGTTTGCTGTTTCATGCTGTTTGGTTTCACATCCTCATGGTATCTCACCCAACTGAAACATCCGAGCCTAACGCTTCGCCCCTGTCAGGCAAGGCTTTCCTAGAGAGTGGAGATCTTAGCTTATGGCCACTCTTAAGACAGACACCTCAGGACCAAATTAGAAAGAAAATATACTAAAAGTCACAACAAACCTCAGTCATAACAGTGTGTCCAAGAAGTTCATGGAACCATTTGACAAGATTTCATAGATTGATCATTTGAAGCATCAGCCTAGTGTTTTATTTGAATATGTTTCTATCTATTCCGTGCCTCCTTAGGATAAGACTGTCTGAAGGCTTGGTGCTTTGCTATATGATATTAGCTTTAGGCAGCATCTAATCCCTCACATCAAAAGATAAGCAAAACACTATAAAATGTTAGGAAATGTAAAAATCTTTACTTTTATGTTACTTTTTACATTTTAATCTGTGTTACTATTTCAGGGAATAAATAACATGAGTTTGTATAGTGAAATGCAACAAATATAGACTCTGATTTTGTGTGGTGCTCCATTGTGTACTTGAGATATCACTGAACCTGGGTTATATCATCTTGTTACTGATCTGCTTATTAATAATCTGAAAGATTAATAAGCCATGTGGGCTCTTGCCACATATTCAGAGAAGAATTCTGAATATTGGCAGAAATAAACCCAGCAACATGATAAGTTTTAAGCTTTTTATTCAGTGAGAGAAATGCATAGGAGACTGAGGGCATTAATCTAATCTAAGGGAGAAGGGAAAGTCTGGAGATTAAGTTGGAATCCACACCAAGCAGAAAGCAGGCCAAAAGCCATGTGCAGCAAGCGTTTGGTTTAGAGCAGTTATTAACAGCTTATTATGGGCAGCCAGCGAAGAGAAGGCAGAGAGTGTAGGTGACCCGAGGGCCACGTGCCCTGACGGCATGGGGCAACAAAGGTCCACAATGGTGAAAAAGGGCAAAAGGGCCAGGCCCACCGTGTTTCAGGCCTTTAATCCATTTCCAAAGGGGTGTGGTTAATTAGTCTGACTGGCAGGTGGACACACAGGTGTTGGTCAGGTAGGGACATGAGCTCACACAGGGGCTTGGTGAAGGCATGGTCTTCCAGCTCACAAACTTAATTGATTTTATCCTATATGCCTGCCTACATCAATTTTAGCAATTTTTATGAAGATTGGCCATAAAGTACAAAAGAACATAAAATGCCAGCCCTTGTCAAGCATTCAATGTATGGCAGCTTTTATTATTCTATCATGTATATTTTTATAACAGAAGAATCATAGTGATAAACATAGTGATAAACCATGATAAACTGATATTCATAAATCTAATATGAAATGTGGCTACCAGAGGTACATAAAATATTGAAGAGCCAGTTATCAGTCTGGATAGGCTAAATTATGCTGAAGTAACAAATTAAAAGCCTACATCTCAGTAGCTTAACACAACGAGGGTTTGTCTTTTGCTACCTGAAAATGTCTGAAGCCAGATAGCAGGGGTTTGGCTTCACTTATGCAGGGTCTGGAGGTGACAGAGATGCTCCCTTCCCACTGCTGCTACTTCTGAATGAAACCTTCAGTGTCCTCCATGACAGGCAGAGTCAGAGGGTGCTGGGGAGACTCACATTGTGAATACATATGCATGATATATGTGACTTTCACCTCAGCCACCCACAAAGACACTCAACACAGTCTCAACTAACTGCAAGGTGATACAGAAATGCAGTTATCCTATGTGCTTGGAGGGAAAGGAGAATCAGACTTGGCAAGGACTCCAACACTACTTCAAAATGTCCTTAGTCCAGATAAAAGAGTCCTTAAATTCTGGAGACAATTAAATGGCTCTTTCCCCAAGTGGATTTATTCCCATTGTTGAAGAAATAAACCATAGCATTGATTTTATAATTCAGGGGTTTTTTTAATTAAGAAATGAATTTTAGCCTTATGCTGAGTTGTCACAGGCTGATCTGGTCAGTTTGGGGGTGAGGAAAAGCATCACGTGTAATCATTGCAGGAGTTGCCTCATGTATGCCAAAATAAGAGAAGCTGTCAGCCAGAGAGGAACTTTGCACAACAAAGTGTTAAATGAAATAGTACCAGGCAAAATAAGGTAATGCTCTTTTGCTGTCTAGCACCACATAAGATGCTAACTGAAAGAGTAAATAAAAACACTCAACGTGCATTTAGCTTTCATAATTTACCTTCTGCAAGGTTGATTTAGAATATGCAGAATATGCCACATTATTTAGGCTGTAAAAAGGAGCCGCTTTACACTACCTGCCATGTACGATTATAATAATCTGTCAGACAAATATAATTACAGAGTGTGATGTCTGTTTGAGTGTGAAGGCTTTGATTGTGTGGTATTGTCTGCTTTACACTGTGGCACAGCGTAAACAATTGTACTCTGTGGTAACTCTCAGCCAGGCTAATGCTCCGAGTCAGGAACGCCCCATCGCCCCATCGAAATAGCATAGAGGGTTGGGTTTGGGTTTGAGGTTGTTGGCTTTGTTTGCTTCTACACCGCCACCCACCACGGCTTTTCAAGTGCAAACTTGACCACAGTAAGCCTTCTGCAGTACCACGTGGCAGGTCTCCAAGATATTGTTAATAAATCATGAAAGTGAATGGGAGGCTAAGGCAGGGCATGGTCCATTAACAAATACTGACCATTTTAATGATTAAAATAGATTGAAAAGGAAATGCATGGATCACTTCAATGATTAAAAAATAATTAGGTGACATTCCATGGCTTAAAGAATAAAGTTGTTATTTCATAGAATAAGTAGTGATTATAATTTGTTGTTAAACTCTCACACTGGTTGACAAAATAGAAAAGGTAGCCCTCATTAGAACCTTTCATAATAGCATCTAGTACAAGATTTAGAGTTTTCTTTTAAATTAATGATCTCCTTTCCCTTCCATTTATACTACTTGGATAAGGCTATTTTAAAATATATTTTTCAATCCATGGTCCTCTTATCACGGTACGCTCCATATGCAGAGGTTTTGCTGTGGAACTTCTCTACAGGAGACACATTCTGCTCCTGAAGATGAGTTCCTAGGTAAGATTTAGGAAGTGTCCACTTGCCAAATTCTGCTCCGTTGTTAATTCACTACTGGAGAAGGTTGGTATTGTAATCCAAAAGTGACCTAAATTAATAGCCCAAAGAGACAATCTGGATTTGGAATCTGGTTTTCTTTTACATTACAAATATAGGGCATTCTGATGGTATCTAAACCTACTTACAAAGATCAAACAACTTTGCATTAATGACAGAAAACGTTCTCTGAAAGAGCATCAATATTCTCTCTTCTGGACAACTGGGAAAAGAATCCCAGAGATTTACACTGATTATGCCTTTATGCTAAGCATGCGAAATTATTTTCTCTATGAACCCACCACTGAGAAGGAATATTATTTTCATAATGTTTCAATGTTTGAGTAGTTCTAATGAAAGTAATAAATCATAAAATAATCACAAAATCATGACCTCTCCACATCGCAAAGACTCTTCCCAATTAGAAATGATTACTATCTTTCTTGGACCTCACTGTATCTTCTATAGTTTTCTTTCCTAGTAATTAAAAGCATATTATGTTTACTTTCATTGATCTATAAATTCCTGGAGACCAGAGATTATATTTACCCCTCTTTGTTTCCCTAAGGTTTAAAATAGTGACTACAGTTCACAATAGCTTACTACATATTTTATGAATAACTAGAAGAGAGGACCACACAATTTCAAATATGAAGTAATGCTAAGGAGATGGAAATATTAATTATCTGGATTTCACTAGTGCATGTGGGATATGTTCATTTATTGAAATGTCGCACTGCATCCCAAAATTATGAATACCTGGTCATAAAAAGCTTTTTTTAAAAAATTTATTTGAAAAGCAGAGTTACAGAGACAGAGAGAAAGGTCTTCCATCTGCTTGTTCATTCCTCAAATGGCTACAATGGCAGGGGCTGGGCCAAGCCAAAGCCAGGAGCCAGGAGCTTCATCTGGGTCTCCCACATGGATGAAGGGGCCCAACTTGGGCCACCTTCTATTGCTATCCCAGGTACACCAGCAGGGACTGAATCAGAAACAGAACAGCCAGGAATTGAACCAGTAGCACCTATGTAGGATCCCAGCCCTAAAGGTAGGGGTTTAACCCTCTACACCACAGTACCAGCCCCCATGAAAAGCTTTTTAAAAAATGTTTTAGGGCTGGCGCCGGGGCTCACTAGGCTAATCCTCTGCCTTGCGGCGCCGGCACACAGGGTTCTAGTCCCGGTCGGGGCGCCGGATTCTGTCCCGGTTGCCCCTCTTCCAGGCCAGCTCTCTGCTGTGGCCAGGGAGTACAGTGGAGGATGGCCCAAGTCCTTGGGCCCTGCACCCCATGGGAGACCAGGATAAGTACCTGGCTCCTGCCAAAGGATCAGCGCGGTGCGCAAGCTGCAGCGCTGGCCGTGGAGGGTCAACCACCGGCAAAGGGAAGACCTTTCTCTCTGTCTCTCTCTCTCACTGTCCACTCCGCCTGTCAAAAAAAAAAAAAAAAAAAAAGTTTTAGGAGGAGAAGGAAGTAAATGCTAACTAACCTGATCTGATCATTATATATTGTATATGTGTATCAAATTAGCATACTACACCCCATAAATATGTGCAATTAAAATAATCTTCAAAAATAATGAAATACTAGCTGGACTACCCATGAATAACTGAATCAGTAGAAGAAGGAATCCGGTACTACATTGTGACAGTGGATGTCTCTTAGCCCTTCTCCAGCATCCTTTCCCTCCCTCCCTCCCCCTTTTCCCACATCCCCAACATCCATTTGAAGATTCAGCTGGCTCCCAGGGAGCTCCTCTCCACTTTCAGAAGCAAAATATGAAACCTAGACTAGACCACTCATTGCATTCCATCCAGCTAACAAGCGACTGACTGCCCTAAGCTTACTACCTAAGTAAAGGTTTCCGTTCAG